CTTCTCTCTTTTCTTCCTCCTACCCCAAACCCCTCGAAATCGACATATATACGTGATGCTGATATTAAAAACATGATCTAGTCCTGTTTGCATTACAACAAGAGTAACCTGTTTCTCTGTGGTTGTTGCAGGTCAGTACTGGCAGAGTGTGAAGGCCTACAGTGGATCAGTGGGTCTGTCCTACCTTGCTGCAGAGAGGAGAGACTGTGAGGAAACTGATGCGGTCAATGCTCTGGCCTCACTCTCTGTGGGAGTGCTGTCCAACAAGAGGTACAGCACACACACACACAGTCATAGGTTTTCCTTTTTTTACAAATGATTTTTCCTTGTCCCACCCTACTGTCTTCTGATTTGTTAGTACCTCTTTTCACATTAGAGCAGGATTAGGTTTAACAAAAATATGGTTAAACAATCAATCAAAGACAAGTATCCCACTTTGTCGCTTCATGTTGGCATTCCCAGCATTTCCCTCACTCTCTGTTTCCCCCCTCCAGCCTCCCTGACGAGCCGATGGAGCATGACAGTGACTCCATGTAGAAAGATCAGACCAATCGCCTCACTGTCAGGATTTGGGCGCCCACCTGTAGCCTTGGATCTCCTGCGCTGTGACACAACCATGAATGGGGAGCGTTTGTAATGCCACTGAGCCCCACCCACCTGCCTTATTCACACACCAACAGACACACAATGCTGAAACCCACCAGGCCGGCAGTGTGAGCACGTCCAAGCTGGCAACCACTACCTTCTGAAACCTCACCAAAGAGATATACAAGACAATGTCTTATTACTTTTGATGTCCTCTTACTGACAATGGATGGTGTGTGTGTTCAGAGGTCCAGGAACCTTAAAGGAACAGACAGAATTCAGATGTCCAGCTCTGAATCCTCCTGAAGCACTATGTACCAGCAGCCTTAACTATGCCTTAACGTAAGGACCAGCAGGTTTCAGAAGGAAAAGACTTTGGACCGTGAATTCCTTTCTCTTCACGTGAAGATACACCTGATGGATGCTCAAATATCAACAAGAAGGAAAGAATATGGAAAATAGGACATGGAGATTGTCTGTTTGAATGATGTCATTGCATGCAGTTTAACCACTAGAAGAAAATGAAGACGCAAACTGTGGTTTTGTAGAAACAAAAAAAAGGAAAATGTCCTTTTATTGCACTGTTCATTCCATAATGTGAACCGTAAGAGAAATTCCAAAACCCTGGGATAAAAAACAACATCTCCTCTGTAGATAATTAAAAAGGAGGATTTGGATGACATTTTATTCGCTCTATATCTGAGATGTCTTAAGTGAGGACACGTATCATCCTGATACTGTAGACTGTATTTCCTATGAAGTTAATCCAAAAAGTAGGCAATATTTTTCGAGCAGGATTATTTTTCCACTGCTGTTCAGTGTCTTGTACACACATGTACAAATCGACGATGACCTTTCAATGTACCACTAGTATTGAAGACTGTATATTATTGTTTATATTTGAGACTAAAGGAGCGTTCATTCCACCGTGGCACCACTGAGGACCATTCGTATTGTTCTATAGTTGCAATAATATTAATGCACTTAAAGGATATCACCCAAAGAAAACTGCCTTAAGACAGCACGCAACACAAGGGACCAGTTTGGATTCTGCTGAACTTTTCAAAGACAACCTTTGGATTTAGAAGAATATCTTGTATGCAGACTTTTGTATACCGTCTATTTTGATAATGAATGTTTTCTTTATATTCTTCAAAAAACAGCTATGGAGATCCAGGCTCTCTCTCGGTCTAATTAAGGAAACATTGTGTTTTGTTTGCAACTGTAGCAGCTCTTCCTGTCACGTTACAATCAAGCTAGACGGTGCCATGCTAAACAAGTTGGCCCCTCGTCCACACGCAGGTCACGTTGCTCGTTCGTTTGAAGAATTGTTCTGACTGCCCAGCTGTAGGGGCATGTAAGGGCTCTGCATTCCAAAAGTAAAAATAACAAGATCGTGTTTCTTAGTTTGGAGGTTTTTGTTTGAATCCATTTTTCATGCACTCTTCCTTTGACCAGGTTAGGCTTTTGATGACCAATACTTGCATTGATTAGATTAAAGCTGCAGAAAACTGAGTCAGAATGATTACATTTGACATAATGTGGCCAAAAAACAACATAAAATTCCATAATAATTCCATATCTTATTTTCTAAAAGTGAATATACACACTAAACCTCTGTAAGGAAATTCATGTTTGACTGTTCACATGGTTTTAACATCCATGATTGGATTTAAAGCAGCACAATCAGTTTTTTTTTTATCTTATAGGAAATAAAAACGGCATGTAAAAGAAGCTTTTGTAAATAGATAAAATAGCTTGAGATTAGCACAGCAAGTTAATGTGAATGGTCGCAGGAAGTGTCGGTTAGCATCCTGGTAGGAAACTGTAAGCGTTGCTTTAGTCGGACCCTGGGCATCATCTGCCCAACAGAAGGCCTCAAAGCGTTTATAGGAAGCAAAATGACAGAAGAGCTAAAACGTTTTTCCTTTGCAGAAGTCCCATTGAGAAATATTGCAGATAAAGGATTCTGTAATAGGTGTCATTTTTTGTTTGTATGTACATAGTATTCTTAACAGCAAGTGACGGCATTGAAACTAAATGCTGTGTCTATTATCCAGCAGCAGGTGCATGTTGTGTCTATGAAGTTAATGTTGAGTGTGTGTTTGTCCGTCAAATACTGTAAATGACCTCCTGTATCATATCCCCAGCACCTGTTTTTTGCCTTAAGGAGAGGCCTTTAGTGCCTCAACTCTTAATTCCCTTTAATACTGATGAAATGTGTACCTTCTCACTGTAAATAGAAACTCCAAGACCAAAATACACATGTCACACATGTGCCTTGATGCATTCAGCAGGATGTGTATTAGTGTCTCTTGACTAACTGGACTTACAGTAACTCTGTGTATCTATAAATGTGACCTTGAAATCTTTATTTCATGCTATTCTTTATTATGTACCTGTATTTTTACTGCACATTTCCTACCATGTGTGTGTATAGAAAGATTCTATTTTGTACTCTTATTTTCGTCTTTTCCTCTTGATTAAAACAACATCATTTCCAGTATTTAAGCTTATTTTTGTCTTCTTTGTCTAAACTTCTTCATATTAACTAGAAGAATAGGATAAATAATGTATTATATTAGTTTATTTGTTAACACATGTTGAAATTGAGTAAAAGAGAACATTACCGGGTGTTATATTTAAAGTACATTTTAAGAAAATCACCAGTGTAGGATTCTTCTTCAAGTGTATAGTTTGTGGAGGAAATATTCTTTACCAAAAGATTGTTGAAATTGAGTAAGCTTTACTGTTATTTTTAAAATGTTAGCCTCCCACTAACATGAATAGGCTAACTAGCAATATGAGCCGTGTTCAATGACATCCTCCATCTTGTCTTTAGCGGCAAGCTAATTTGCTCAGTAAATTCTAATTGTGCTGTTAGCAAGCAGATAATACTCTATGCTAAGTAAGTGGTCATAATTAGCTAAAGCTAGCATTAAAGCTAATGCTACTTATTATGACCACACTCAGATTTAATATTGGGCTTGAAAGTCTGGTTACACCATCTGCTATAGCATTAGCTAGCTAGAGAAAATTACTCATCTTAGTGCTTTATTTATGAATATTGTAACCGGGTTAATGTATATTGTGGGTATCTATATCACATTTATTAAATTGTGTGAATGGTAGGAATGACAAGCTATGTGTTCAAACGACGCCTTTTCAGTCATAGCTAGTGTGTTTATTTTCAATGTCTTAACCTATTTCCCATCCATTCCCTGTGACGTTAGCGTAGCATTGATCCCAGCTGTGAAGTCTGTGAGCAGTCAGCTGCTAGAAACCTGGATCCACAGAGCAAGCACACTTCTCAGGTCTGTGAACTTTTAATATTTATTAACGAGCAGATAACTTGTCTACTGACAAAGAGGCAGAAACTAAAACTGAATTGCACTGTTACAACATTAGACCTATGCGTAGCAAAAATAGATTGTTTCATTTAAACATTCTGATAAAATAGCAGTTCAATACAGAACATGAACAATTTCTTTGTTTTGTTATTAAGACAATATTCACCTTTACATTTATAACTTGTACATCTTTGACTTCACATCATTTCCATCACAACTCCACTCCTACCTCAGCAGAGGTCTAATCAGATCAACTGGAAACCCCCTTTGTGTTAGCAGTCTTGCAGCTGATTTTTGAATTGTTTTGCTCATTTAATGAAAATAATGCACATTACGGCAAACTCTTCGACCAAAGCATTCTGCATTTTTGAGAAGAAGATGAGCAACGGTTGAAATCAATGTCAAGTAACATCAAATGTAATATAATGCATATTCAAGCCATTTTATTGATCAAATCTATACTATATTTAAGTGAAACCCAAGCATATTCAAATCTGTGAGACTCAATCTTAGTCACTCATTTAGGTACTAATGTGTCTAACATTTCCACAGTGTTGATTAAAGAACACAGCTATATCACAAGACAAGTACAAGTTATTTTTTATAATTTGAATAATAAAATATGGCCGGCAGTTTATACCAACTCTGATAACGGCTGTTATGCCACAATGTAACTGTTCCTGTGGGTTAACACTGTGAAAGCTTTAATGATCTAACTCCTGCTAAAGGATACGCAACAGTAAAGCTGGCTGCAGGCCAGTGTAGCATAACTGCAAAGATCAAACTAAAAACTATGAATTTGGGCCCAAACAGGCTATAAATATTCCTGGAGCCTTTAATTGCACATTAACTTGTTCTTTTTGGAGGAATTAACTGTTCCTGACTGACCAGGCAAAGGCACACAGACCTCATTAAAAAAAAGACCGGGGGAAGGAGGAAGGAAGGGAAAACAAGAGGCAGTTTAACAAGAGAGACAGGAGACAAAGAGGGTGTGGCGCTAGTATAAATCTTTGCACCGTTCATCATCCACTTTGAGCAAAACAACAAGAAACTTGTGAAAAAGTTTGAAGACAGTTTTATTTTTCAGACAAATGATTCATGTTGCATTACTACATCTATTTTGTTCTGCATGTGATATCCAGTCATGCTGTATCAGTGTCACTCCACACACTGTATATTCTTCAAGTAATTGCTCCTTAAAAACAAAGCCTTGCTTTGATTGTAAACTGGTGAACAAGAGATGAACATACATTCTGTCAGAGATTATAGTCTTGCTTCAACTGCAGGTGAAGTCTCTTATACAGTGACAGCTCATATATAAGTTTCCTTTTATTATATACAGGGAAAATAGTGATAATCACAACATTTAAACAATAAAAAATGTCCAGCTATTGTCCAGCTAAAGCTCTTTGATGGTTTAGTTTGTCCAGAAATGTCCTCTTGCCCCATATCTGTCTGCATCCTGATCCGGATGCCTTTTGATATTCTTGTACACTCCTTTTCTCCCTAAGTGAGGTAACTAAAAAGATTCCATTTGTATCAAAGTCCAAATGATTGAACCTTGATGGTAGCATGAACACCAGAGAAGATCACAGTCACTTTATTCAGCAGCTGGAAAGACAAAAAAGACAGACTGCTGATGAGTTTTTAGACTTATAATTTTGAAATTGATCCTTGTTCCAAAACAACAAGACATCAATGGGGCAATGACAATCAACGAGATTTAATTTCATATTTCCAAGTATAACAACAGGAAGAAAAAGCACATTGTCTTAAGTAGTGTCATCTATGGAAAAATAACAGCATTTTTTTATTCATAACAAGCTAGAATTAATACACTAATTCAGAATACTTCTTGATTTAAATATAATAATACAAGGTTATGCATGCGCATTAAACTGGTGTTCAGTATTGACATATATGGGGTGTTGGCAAATGCAATTCAGGTCATTAATGTTGCCAATTTCCGTATCAGTGGTAAAAAAGCAAAAAGTAGCTGTCATACCTAATCAGTTATTATCCAACTGCTGTTTTGTGCATAAATGCACAGGGGCCCAAAACTTAAATTATTTTGAAATGTCAAGTGTCCTCTAACATGTCAGTGGATGTTGTTCCTCTGAGACCACACTGTGCTTACTTTGAGGCTCAAGTCTTCATTAGTGTTCACAGGAGCTGGAAACATTAGCTACCTCCCTGGGACATGCTAATGATAGGTTGCAGGGCTTAATGCATATTGGCAATGAGCGAAGAAGTGGTTTGTCATGGATTTGTATCGAAACAAACAACATGTCATCTCTTTGGAGTTTGCTCCTTTCATAGGAATTGAAAGCTAAACTCTGTAGGTGATGTTCATTCGATTGAATTCGGATGTTCTTTTTCAAACCCAGACATTTAGAATGTGTGTGTTTCTGCATGGGTGTGTGCATAGGGCTACACCTATAGTTGTGCACATTTGTGTGTGTATAAATCAGCTCTCACCTCCTCCATCACTTCCAGTGGTTTATGGGAGCCCAGCAGGGAGCCACATCGGGCTCCTCTTTGATGGTGACACGCATGATTCATGGCTTTTCGAGACCGTTTGTTTTCATTACGCCTCCTCGTCAGCTCGCAAGCTGCATCACTGTTTCGTGCAACGCAGGCACATTTGGGCCAGAATGAGAGGAAAGAATTTCAAGAGGAGAGTTTTTTTTGGCACTACTAGAAACAAAGGGGCTTGGTTTGGGTACGGAGAGAAGAAACTTAAATCGGGACGACGGCTGCCCTGCCCACTGCTGCTTTTTCCACCAGTGCTTGGGTTCAGAGGTGGTCAGGGAATCATGATATGTCTTGGAAAAGTAGGAGTTGAAGGCTTGGAAAAGTCAAAGGTCCAATCTCTGTTGGAACATCCAATTTTATCTTTCCAGTTCTTCTTTTCTTCTAATCCCTCCTCTGCATAGTGGCTCTTTATATAACACAAACCCTGCTAGCCCCAGGCTGAAATAAAGTTCAAATGTGTCTCCAAGTATGCATACCTATGAAGATGATGATAAAAACGATGCTAAAGGTGGAAGTTATGATGATCAAATCTACGGACATGACACATGAGGTCAAGTTACAGAACCCGAGAAAGCCAGGAGATTGAATGTTACTATCTGTCACCTGTCATGTCCTCCTTTGGGATTCATGTAAACAAAGCACAAACGTTGTAAAAAAGAATCCTTAAAAAAGCTTGGAATCATACGCTGAGCACAATGTCCCTGTTCTACTTCTCTTGAATTCTACTATTGGCATACTCAAGCAGTAATTGCTGCTTTAGGCAGACAACATACAGAAATACAACAATCCATCTGGCATGTAGCTTGTCAACAATAGTGGCTTTAAAATCAGCTTCTTCCTACTGCAAATGTCAATGTCAATAAGTCTTTCTGACATCATTGAGGCAAACCGAAGAAGTTGATGTGATAAATAGTCCACAGGTGAGCTGACACTCCTCCGCCCCTTTGCGTCAAGTTAGAGTATTTCCTTGTCAAGTGTAATTCATACATTTTACGGCAACAGTCAAAAGATAACCCTTAAAAGGGGCTAGTGGCCAGCAGACATGGATGACCAGGCCCCCTCCATCCTCCAGACCGAGAAGGCGTAGCTCAGTCTCTCGTGGGCCAGGTAGTTACATCCAGCCATCTTGGTGTCCATCTCGTCATTCTCCAGAACCTTGTACAGAAAGTCGATGTAGCGCGACGCCAATTTAAGGGTCTGGATCTTGCTCAGTTTGTCAGAGGGGAGTGTTGGGATTATTTTACGCAACGATGTGAAGGCGTCGTTCAGAGATTGCGTACGCTGTCTCTCTCGGATGTTGGCTATCACCCGCTGCCCGTGAGGGTCCTCCAGACTTCCGGGACTCAGGCCAGGAGAAAGGGACGGTGCCGAGGAAGGTGACCGATCTTGAGGACTCCTCTTGGGTCTTTTCGGTCTGGTTAGGGTGAAGGTCTGAATGTCCTCCCCTGGCTTGACCTTGCCATCGTGTGCAGATGTAGTCGGAGTTGTAAGTTGATCATCCGCATTTGAGCCCGTCTGCCGTTTACGCCCGGTGACCCCAGGTGTTGCTACGACAACAGGGCAGGCGTTAGAAGGTGGTCTTCCTGTGTTTTCCTCGCTGGAAACCACCCCTCCCTCGGGGTGGTCATCATTGGACTGCTCCTCCTCTCGCATGATTTTCTGTCTTCTCTTGGGACTCTCAACCCTTCACTTTTCTGAATATCTCCAGTGCTTCTCTCTTGCCTTCACTATATCTTTCTCCACTCCCCCCCTTCTTCCCTCACTGTTTTCCTCCTGTCTGTTTGTCTTCAGGGAACTCCCCCTGTTAAGTTTCTCCGGCCTTCTGATGTGTTGTTCTTCTTTTCCAAAAGTGATCAGCTTTGCCGAACATGCCAATTCGAAATGGGTAGGTAATCAGCACTCGGCTTTGGATTTCCACATTGCCTCTTCATCTACACATGTGGAAACGTGCCAATGGTATCTTTCCAGCTTCTGTCAGAGTGCACTGCATCGGCAAATCCAACCGTTCTCATGTCCCGCTCCTGTGGCTGCATGTGAGACAACAGCAACCTGAATCTGACTTTTTAAAGGGAGGGAACCATGAAACGTTCAGCTTCCCTCCCATCTGAGTCACCGATTGGTCCGGAGAACTTTTCTTGGACAGCTGAGCTGAAGACAACAGGAAGAATGAGCCATAAGCGATTGGTCGGATTAAAGAGACGAGGCGGAGACAAAGGTGCGTCGTGCAGCCAACCAAATCGAACCCTCGTGACGCTCGCTTCTTGTCAGAGAAGTTGCCCAAGTTTATAGGTTCCAGATTTCCTCCAAGGCAAGACGCTACCATCCCCCATCTCGCTGCCTGGCTCTCCGTCCCCCCTGCCTCCACAACTCAGCCCCATCATCAAGTATAGTTCAGAGAAAAAGAGAAAAAAAACTGTAAAAAAAAGGATCTCCACAAATGTTTTTGTTTCTGGGTTGACAGTCATATCACTTTGTTCTGCCTTTATAAATAGTGAAACGTGGTGATTCTTTAACACGTAACATTTCATCTACATGTTGTAATGGTTAAATATGTGGGAAATAATTCTTTCATGGTTGATATTGTGGTTCTGAAGTCATCATTAAAGATTGAATAGGAATAGCCTAAATTACCAAAAGTAAATACAGAAACACTATAGTACCCCTTCTTACAATACCATCACACTAACTATGGCCTCCAATCAGACATCATCATAAGGCAAAACATCCTTATTGGTGTTCCAAGAAATGATTAGAAAAGTTCCTCATCAGCTAGAAATGTCACACCTTCTTCATGAAACAACAAAGACGGTGTGTTTTATTTCGCTGCCAGTGACCTGGCTGTTGTTTTTCATGATAGACCTGGAGGGAGAAAAGAGCTGGCACACAGTCAGCTCTGCAGCACTGAGGTCTAATCCCAGCATTAGGGAAATAATGAGTTGCGTGGATCAGTGGGAGGCCTGCTCCACTGAGCTACATCCAGAACAAGCCTCGGTCCAGGTCCAACGTGGACTTTGCTCTTAAAACTCCTGGTTGAGACTCAAGCATGGCTAACAGCCACACATCCAAAATGAAATGGGCTATTGTTACCGTTTTGCGATTCAGAGACAAAATGCTTCCCTCTGAGTAAAAAGGATTTTGTTCAGAACTGGAAGTGTCTTCTAGTGAACTTGAAGATGGCGCAAATCGAAATTAAGAAGATACACTTCCATTTATCATTCCGCTTATGTGTATGTTTTTGTTTAACCAACTAAAACATATATAATATATAAAGGTACAGCCCAAGTCAGAATGTGCCCCATTTGAGGTTCCAGTAATCCAGTGTTTGCTTTTTCTTCATTATCTTCGTCTATACCCTTGTGCAATCCAAGCCTCCACACAGAACCTAGATCTTCCAATAACACACTGGAGTTTTAGTCCTATCCCATTGTAAACATATTGAATGCTTATCCGTTTTAAATGTTATCAGCCCATTAAATGTCTGCTACCAATTTTCTAGGCTAAACTAACTTTGTGTTGCTTATGGTTGTTACGGAACAAACCATTATGTAAATTACGAACGCTATGTAACTTTCTTAACATGGATACGTCACTCAATATTGACTTTTGTTTTCACATGGGACTATGATCCTCTAGGGAGAAGTTCCTGTGTTTGACCCAACCATCGTTTGTACATCTTCCACTAAACCTTTATTGGTTTTTATACTACTTTTTCACATCATAATCAACCACATTTGTATTTGTTTCGGGAACATTTTTGGTGAATAGATGATAATGACATTCTGAACCCTTTCTGAACTTGATGTGGTGGTGATGTTGATGGATTGATGACAAACTTCTGATGAGCTCAACCTGGGAAGTGGATATGATGAATGGAGCTAAATCTAGGGTGCAGGAGGCCCGCAGCGTTAGCGTCTGAAATGACAGCTGACTACAGAGTGATTGATGATTGGCTGTTGCAGACAGCAGAGAGGGCAAAAGTACACACATCCTTTATTCAAGTAGAAGTACAGATACTCGTGTTTAAAAATACTCTAGTAAAAGTAAAAGTTCTGACTAAACTTCTTTACTCAAGTAAAAGTAAAAAAATATGGGCTTCGAAAAGTACTTAAGTAAAAAGTTCCCATAACTACCAGCTGTTTCATAGAGTAGCTGGTAGCTGGAGCTCACTTTATATTAATAGAACAATAAAGATCTTCTATTTCAAATTGTAATTATGTAATTATGTAATTGTTAGGTAACGAATGTTTCAACACTGAACAACAACCATTTAGAACACAATTAAAGAAAACAAGTGGGGAAATAAACGCCTACATTGTAGATTCTAAGGTGACTCTCTTCCTTGGAAACATCACAACAATTATTATGGTAATGCTTTAAAAAGAAAACTGAATTGAAGTGCGTTATATGGTGAAATTGTGGGATCAATTAATGAACAACCCAACTCAATAATTGTGTTGTGTGCACGCAATGACTCTAAATAATAATGATCACGCCACCAAACACAGATTAAAACTAAAGTAACGAGCCTGTTTTGAAAATGTAAGAAGTAGAAAGTACAGGTATTTGTGTTAAACATGTAAGAAGTCAAAGTAAAAAGTAGTCAGAAAAATAAGTAGTGGAGTACCAGAAAAATGTACTTAAGTACAGTAACAAAGTATTTGTACTCCACTACTTCCCACCTCTGGTTGCAGATTGTGGCAAAATGTAGTTGGTTAAAAAAAATAGGGTACACGTACACCTATAATCAGCTTATTAGAGGCAGCAGGAGGAGAGAGAGATCATTTATATCAAAAAAAAAAAGTAGGTAAACTTCTCTGAACTTGCACATGCTTCATATGGTTAAGTAATGTTTAAAGAATTGAGATGAAATAGGATTAATTCTCGACAGGGACTCTCATACAGTGATAGGTATTAGAACTCCTGAGTGACCAAGGTGCTGAATACTGTGTTTCATTGCTTCCAAAGGGTTATCAACATTTGTACCAAGAGACGTAGCAATGAAGATATAAATATGAATACAATCGATGTAGGAACATGTATGGTAGTCCTCAAGGATACATGCGTTTTGATGGGAATCCTTGAATTGAACATAAATGTATTTGTTTCCAGGCAACCCAGAACAGCAAAATAAGTTACAATAATATAACCGCCATATTGGAAAAGTTGTTTTTAAATCCAGTCCTCACTCTTCTTTTAGCTCTATTTTGTTTACCTCTTATCTCCTAGATGCTCAACTATGTTCCCCACTACATGTGTCTGCTGTTTAGTGTTAGACTTGTAGTGTGTAATGTGTTTATCAGAGCTCTTTCACAGAAAACAGCTGGCTGGAAACAGGGTCAATGAGAGTCAAGTTGAAGTGCGGAAAACGACAACAATATGCTAAAGGTGGCTTAAAGCAATATACAACAACGTCTTTCACGCAGACATCGTCATTTGATCCATTATTAATATAAAGCATATTATTTAGTGCAGCTCTAACAAATGTGATAGTTTGAGGTTTGAGACATGAGTAACAGTTTCTCAAACTCTGACGAAACCAGGCGTGCAGTCACACAATGACCAAACGAATATAAACACAATCAGTCTAGTGTTGAATGACTAGAAATATTTACACCAGAGAGCCTGAGTCAAAGTAACAATCCTTCTCTCATGCAAAGCTTTGAGTATTTGTGGAAATTAGCGTCCATAAATACAGCTGAGCAGCCAAACTCATTGATTCCTTTTCATCTTATTTTCTGTATCCGTCATAGACCGTGCGTCCTCTCCGCGGGCGATGGGGCACCTGTGACGGATCACAACTATTTACACATCACAGCTCCCTCGAAACTCTTCCTTTCTCGCTAAAAAATAAATACCTCTTAGCAACGGGAGTGTGTGACGGAAAATGGATATCAGGTCTTGATATAAACACACGTATTGGGTCAGGGAAGAGGGGAGGGGGCGGGCCATGCTCACAATGCTTGGTCTTGTCTGGGAAGGCCCCCCGGAGGCTGACTCATTCAGAAAAAAGGGAAAGAACACCGGACCCCGTCTGTTTGAACTGCATGCTCAAATGAGGACTTAGCATAAATATTTCCACCCAGAGAAATGGGAGAATGTTATCACATGTGCAGCTTATGTATACACACACATGGCACACACACATGCTTGCAAATTCATGGGTTTACACTGTGGCATGCATTTACACAGACGCACAAATAAAGACAGTCCACTATATAAACAAATCAGTTACAGGATGTTAGGTACAGTACCTGGTAGAAATCTGTTTGTCATTTTATAGAAAAAGGTTTCATAAAACACATTTAGTTGTTTTCCATAAAAGAAATTGTTGGTAGATTTGGTTTACTTCAAAATATCCACCATGTGCAGATGTTTTTTCGAAAGGGAAATAATATATTGTTAGTTTTTCTAGTGTTTTTTACATAGAGTGTTCCGGACATCAGTGCTGATTAAGGTATAGGTATTGTTTTTGTTTTTTTCAGTTCACCTAACCCTGAAGGTCCCATAGCGTTTTAGCTTCTGTCAGCTCATTGTTTTAGGTTAAATGTAATTGTTTAGTTTCACTCAAACAGCTCATTCAGAAAACCTCCTAATACATAACCTACCATAGCGTCTAAAAGGAGACACTCTGTAACTTACTAGCGAGTTAAGAGCTAATTGTACAGAACCTTGACTGCATGTGAATCTTTCCCTGTATCTGTTAGATTACTGATTCCCAAACTGTGGCACACGTAGGCCACTTGGTCATGACATCTGACACAGCATCAACTCAGTGTTTGTTAAACGCTTGTTTTGGTTTTATTGCCCCGGACTTTACTGGTTTGCTTCGCTCTCACTTTTCCAGCTGTAGCAGGGAGACTTCTCCAGATAAACCAGCTGTATGCAGCCTGCTGAGAAACAAACAGCAGACAGACAAGGCTAGTGACTGTAGCCTTTACCTGAGATATGGCTAGAGAGGATCTGTCTCTGTCTGTGAATATAACAAATA